GTACTTGGAGAATGTGTACAACATTTTAGAATGGTGCTGTGCTTACTTTAAATTAATCTTCCCCAAATCCTGTGAGTTGATTATCAAGTCAAGTGTTCCTGCTGGTAGGACTATACTATTCTTTTAGGGGCTGTAGTCTTTTTTTGTGGCCCAAACAAGACATTTACACAGTTGTCTGCCATTATCACTTTCCCTACCAAGTGAGGTATTTGGGTTTTTTGAGCACCATGCATGGGCCTTCAGTAGTCCAGGCAAAGAGCATATCCTCAGACCACCAGGTACAAAGTCCGCTTCTTTCCCTCAGTCACTCCTGTAGCATGAGGTAAAGATCAAACCTGTATATCATCCTTGAAGCTGAATTCAGATTTGTCAGTAATGCTTTACAGTATACCCTTAGAGTAGAAGCATACTAATGTGGGTTTCTGTAAAATGCAGGTTAAAGTAGGGCTCAGTAGGGGGCGCCTGGGTGGCTCAGTGGGTTGAGCTGCTGCCTTCAGCTCCGGTCATGATCTCGGAGTCCTGGGATCGAGCCCCGCATCGGGCTCTCTGCTCGGCGGGGAGTCTGCTTCCTCCTCTCTCTCTGCCTGCCTCTCTGCCTGCTTGTGATCTCTCTATCAAATAAATAAATAAATAAATCTTTAAAAAAAAAAAAAAGTAGGGCTCAGTATTGGATGGAATTAACGATATTGCAGAGGGAAGTAGTCTGAGTAGAGGAAAAAACAGTGTACGTTTATTTATTTTTAAAGATTTTTATTTTAGAGAGTATGAGGAGGAGGTGGGGCAGAGGGAGAGGGAGAGAGAGAATCCCAAGCAGAGCCCAGAGTGGGATTCAGTCTCACAACCCTGAGATCATAACCTGATTTGAAACCAAGAGTCAGGGGCACCTGGGTGGCTCAGTGGGTTAAAGCCTCTGCCTTCGGCTCAGGTCATGATCCCAGGGTCCTGGGATTGAGCCCTACATGGGGCTCTCTGCTCAGCAGGGAGCCTGCTTCCTCTTCTCTCTCCACCTGCCTCTCTGCCTACTTGTGATCTCTGTCTGTCAAATAAATAAATAAAACCTTTAAAAATAATAAAATAAATAAACCAAGAGTCAGATACTTAACCGACTGAGCCACGCAGGCACCCTGATAGTTTACTTTTAATTGTGTTGAGTGTGAAGTAAATGTGAAGAAAAGAAATTGGTAATTGGAAATGTTGGATTGAATGAAGGAGAAATGTCACCTGAATAATAGCTTTAAAAGTCTGCTGGCATAGAGGTTATAATGGAATTAATAGGAATAGATGATCCTAAGCAGGTAAAGAAGGGTGGACAGTTCTTTTCGGGAATGCCCAAGTTTAAGACTTGATCAGAGAGGTAATAAAGCATTGGAGCCTCTGCATTGCTATATCCAAAATGTCATGAATTTCAAGACAAATGATTAGCAGAATATAATGTTACTGAAAGGATGAGAATGAGGACTTAAATAAAGGGTTCCTTAGAGGGATGCTTGGGTGGCTTAGTCGGTTAAGGGCCTGCCTTCAGCTCAGATCATGATCCTTGGGTCCTGGGATCGAGTCCCACATTGGACTCCTTGCTCAACAGGGAGCCTGCTTCTCCCTCTGCCTGCCACTCCCCCCTGCTTGTGCGCTCACTCCCTGTCTCTCTCTCTCTCTCTGAGAGCTAAATGAATCTTTAAAAAATAAATAAAATAAATAAAAGGATCCTTAGAGCTGATAGCTCTATGATGCCTTCCAGAATAGTTTTTGTATTGTGTGGGATGACGGAAAGAAGAAATAGAAGCTATCTGAGTTAATGGGACCTTCAGACCAGCTTATGGTGACTGAGTTCTTTTGTTACACTTCTTTGATGTTTTACCCTGTAACACGAACATTTGTATTCTTGTTTTCATAGCACGCTCTAAAGAATGGTGACATTTCTGAAGCTTCAGATAAACCAAAAGGCACACCTAAAAGAAAACCTGCTAAGAAGAATAAAAGCCAAAAAAAGAATGCTACAACACCCCTGAAGCAGGTTATTTTTAAACATTGAGATTTAACTTCAAAGAATTTGTTGCTGTTTTTAAGAATGGTGTAAAATATTTTTAACTTAAATGATTAGTGTTTTCCATTGACAGGTAATCACAAAATTCTAAAATAGCTATTAAACTTTCTATAGTTTAAGAACATGAGTGTTAATAAAAGTATACTGAATTGGTTGGGAATGATCCATTGAAGATTGTGTTTACTTTATGTGAGGGGTGCAATAGAGGAACCCAGTGCTATTTGAGAGGAGTACTACAGAACCCTAATCTGAATTGGCAGTGTTCTACTTAAGCTGAGAGATGGCTCTGCTTTCTTATCCCCCCACTTTGGACCACACATTCTATGGTCCCTTGAACTAATACCAGGAACCAAATATTCTGGGTGGAATCAGATCTATTTAAAATAGTAGACCTGAAAGCTAAATATTTTGGTGTCTCATCAGTTCCTTTAGTTTTATCATTACCAAGGGAGAAGAGAGCTAACATTTGATAAGCTCTCCCTGTGTCCTGGGTCACAGCACAGGTCACACACAACTTTACACGCTTTCCCCTTTCTGTTCTTTACAGCAAATACATGAGGTAGATTTTATTGTAATTACTTAACAGATGAGGAAAATGAGACTCAAAGAGATTAAGAAACTTGTCCATGATTATATAAATGGCAGAATTTATATGGCAAATCTGTGGCTTGATGATATAAACAGAATTATATTGGAAATTCATACTTATGTGTTTTTGGCCCCAAACCTTTTTATATGATTCTGCATTCTGGATGAGTTAACTGGAGACTATCCCCTTCACAACCTACCATACCCTACCTAAACAAGATTGCAGTTCATCCTCTTTAAAAGAAGTATGTGAGTGTATGTATCTTTGGTTTCTTTTATAGTGGAAAGTTGGTGACAAATGTTCTGCCATTTGGTCAGAAGACGGCTGCGTTTACCCAGCTACCATTGCTTCAATTGATTTTAAGAGAGAAACCTGCGTTGTGGTTTATACCGGATATGGAAATAGGGAGGAGCAAAATATGTCTGATCTACTTTCCCCAGCCTCTGAAGTAGCTAATAATATAGAACAGAATGCTCAAGAGGTAAGGATACGAAGGGGAAAAAAAAAGAATTCTTGGAAGCCAAGAGGGGATGAGAAACTAAATACTATAACTAGTTGTTAGTCTGATCTACTGAAGCACGAATTCTTTTTTTTGTTTGTTTTTTTAAGATTTTATTTATTTGACAAACAGAGAGAGAAATCACAAGTAGGCAGAGAGGCAGGCAGGGAGAAGGGGGGAAGCAGGCTCCCCGCTGAGCAGAGCCGGATGCGGGACTTGATTCCAGGACTCCGGGATCACGACCTGAGCTGAAGGCAGAGGCTTAACCCACTGAGCCACCCAGGCACCCTGAAGCACTAATTCTTTTTTAATGATACCTTTAGGGACGCCTGGGTGGCTCAGTGGATTAAGCCTCTGCCTTCAGCTCAGCTCGTGATCCCAGGGTCCACGGATTGAGCCCCGCATCGGGCTCCCTGCTCAGCAAGAGCCTGCTTCTCCCTCTGCTGCACCCCCTGCTTGTGCTCTCTGTCACACTTTCTCTCCGACAAATAAAATCTTTAAAAAAAAAAAAAAAAAAGATACCTTTATAACAAAAACACATCTGTTTTTTTCTTTCTAAAGAATGAAAACGAGAGTCAAATTTCAACAGATGAAAGTGAGAACTCCTCCTCCAGGTCTCCTGGAAATAAACCGAATAACATCAAGTCAAAAGCTGCTCCATGGAACTCTTTTCTCCCTCCACCACCCCCCATGCCAGGATCGGGACTGGGACCAGGAAAGGTACATTTCTACTCAGAAAAGTTTTCCGAGGAAATAGTTAAGAACTTTCCACTCCTCCATTAAGTGAGTTTTAGCTTTTCTGTGAGACTGTAATTTTCTGTAGATATTATATATCTACACTTGAAAAAAATTTTTTTAATATTATTTATTTAACAAACAGAGATCACAAGTAGGCAGAGAGGCAGGCAGAGAGAGAGGAGGAAGCAGGCTCCCTGCTGAGCAGCGAACCTGATGCAGGACTCGAACCCAGGACCCTGAGATCATGACCTGAGCCAAAGGCAGAGGCTTTAACCCACTGAGCCATCCAGGCGCCCCTTGAAAATTTTTTGTAAAGGAAATAAGGTAGTAATGTAATGCAGAGTATTTTATACTGAAAGACTTTCCCAACTATTTATGGAGGATTGCACGTTAGTCTGATGATTTAGTGAACTTAAGTTAGAAGGTATTACGGTGTTTTATGGTCAGCCGGGTGTTATGCTCTAGTTCCCCACATCACTTGGGTAAGTGTGTAAAAACTGGAGGAAAACACAGCATTTACATCTAATACAGATTAAATCCTAGGGCGCTCCCAGATTGTTCTGTAGAATAAAATGCAAATAATATTTTCCTATATGGTTCTTTTGGTTGTAAGTAATGAACTTAGAAAAGATTTTTACTGGGGCACCTACGTGGCTCAGTCGATTAAGTGTCTGCTTTCAGCCCAGGTCATGATCTCAGGGTCCTGGGATCGAGCCCTGTGTCAGGTTCCCTGCCCAGGGGGGAGTCTGCCTCTCCCTCTGTCCCACTTCCCCCATCCCCCACTCATTCTGTCTCACATATCAATTAATTAGTTCAATCTTTGGAGAAAAAAAAAGATTTTTATTTTAAGTTGTGTCATGTGCGTGTGTCCCTACCCAGTTGTTTCGTATAAAGCAGTGATTTCTTCACTGGAGGTTATAGTATTCAGGCAGCAATAATAATAAATTAAAAATCATGACTTACTAAAGCTTTTTCTGAAGATTTTCTGTGAGAGATTTCTTACTAGGTTTATATTATAATTTCTAGAATGATCAGACCTCTTAATTTATATATCCTACTTTATTGGTCTCGGGGCTGGTTTTCTTTTTCTTTTTTTTTTTTTGGACAGGAAGTTGGATTTATTGGTGGGCATGAATACAACAAAAGGGGGTAGTGCAAAGGTTCTCATGAGTGCAGAGCCCTCCATTTGTCTGAGGGGCTATAGTTAGAGATGTATTTGACCCTACAGCCATCTAAGATAAGCCACTTTTCAGCTGCCATGTCTTCAAATTCATCTGCATTGAACTTAGTAAAGCCCCACTTCTTGGAGATGTGGATCTTCTGGTGTCCAGGGAACTTGAACTTGGCCCTGCATAGGGCCCCGATCACATGCTCCTTTTTCTGCAGCTTGGTAGGGATGGACATGATGACTTGGCCAATGTGGACCCTGGCTGCTGTGACCTGTGGCTTTGCAAAGGCACCCCACATACCTGTCTGCAGCCTAAATTGGAGATAGCCATGAGGTCAGACCTCAACATCTACTGGAAAGGGCTGTCTCCAAGGTCCCTTAAGGCAACCCATACAATCAACAGGCTGCATACAGTACCAACGAGGCTACTGTTTGCAGCCATGGCATGGTTTTCCTTATTACACATGAGGTTTACTAACTTGTACAATATGTGCTCTACAGTAACATGTAACTCAAAGGACATCCGTAAAAGATTACACAATTAGTAAAACTGTGGGAGAGATAGTCTTTTGTGATTTACATACCTTGGTAAATATATTATCTCTGATTTATTAGGTAATTAGGCATCTTTCTTAGTTTGATTTGATTTTCTGAATGTTTATATAGAAAGGAAATGAGGGATATCTAGATTTATGAGTCTTCACTATTTGGTATATGAAATTCTATTTCATCTTTTTTGACATGTATAATATATTATTCTTGGTGATTATTTTGACTCTTACGGCACTGAATCATTTTCCTCCTTTCATGTGTAAATGGGTACATTAATCTTCCTTTGGAATGTTCTTTACAGCCTGGTCTAAAATTCAGTGGCCCACCACCACCTCCACCACCACCACATTTCTTATCATGCTGGCTGCCTCCATTTCCTTCTGGACCACCAGTAAGTGCAAAGGAATTCAGATTAAACGTTGCTTTCATACATACTTAGGGATTTAGCAGCACATGGGTGATTGCGACCAGCCCTATGGTCAGATTCTAGTGGGTAACAATTGGAACCAAACCCCAGGTTTTTGTTTTTAATGCCCTTCTGCTACCCAGACTCAGTCCTCTTATTGGCCCCAACTCTGAGCCTTATATTCCTTCCTGTCAGAAATTGTATGTCATTCTATAGGGAGGTGTCTCTTACTTAAAAGGATTTAATTGCACTGTAAGTAAGGATTAATCTTTTGCTCTTCCAGATATGCCTGGATGTTAACTTCGCATAGACTGTGTGGGTATCTAATGGTAGACTTCTGGATATCAGCAGTAGGCTAGATACAAGATGCTTTTTAGCAAATTGCATGTGTTCCAGTGGGGGCAGCGCAGTTGTTCTACCCAAGACCTTTACTTAACATGCTGTCTGGGTGGTTTTTCAGTAAAACCTTAGAAGTATGTATACGTGCGATGTCTGGGTGGCTCAGTCGGTTGGGCATCTGACTCTTGATTTTGGCTCAGGTCTATGATCTCAGGGTCATGGGACTGAACCCCACATCAGGCTCCATGTTCAGCATAGAATCTGCTTGAGATTGTTTCTCTCCCTCTGCCCCTACCCACCAGCACACACGCTTGCGCTCTCTTTCTCTGAATAAATAAAATCTTAAAAAAAAAAAAAAAAAGTATAATATACTTGGTCTTTTACCCATAGATAATTAATGGAATGGAATAATAGTTCAAAAGTCAAAACAATACCTGACATCTTACATGATGTATCGTCTTTTGATTCTTTTTTTTTTTTTTTTAAGATTTTATTTATTTATTTGACAGAGAGAGATCACAAGTAGGCAGAGAGGCAGGCAGAGAGAGAGGAGGAAGCAGGCTCCCTGCCAAGCAGACAGCCTAATGCGGGACTCGATCCCAGGACCCTGAGATCATGACCTGAGCCGAAGGCAGAGGCTTAACCCACTGAGCCACCCAGGCGCCCCATCTTTTGATTCTTACTTATTTTGATTTTGTTGGTCTTTTGTTGTTACTCGTTAGCTTTCTCAAAATGTCATTTTTTTTTAAGTTTTAAATAGGAAATGGCATAAAATATAGAGGAAGATAGAACAAATATCCAGCATTCTTTATGTAAAATGGATGTCCAGACTTCAGTTTTTGTTTATTGACTTTAAAGTACATCTTTCTCCATTTCCAGATAATTCCCCCACCACCTCCCATATGTCCAGATTCTTTTGATGATGCTGATGCTTTGGGAAGTATGTTAATCTCTTGGTACATGAGTGGCTATCATACTGGTTACTATATGGTAAGTGATCACTTGGCATCTTTCCTGACAACCATTTTGTGGTTATGTGACTTTGTTTTGTGACTAAAAAAGTGTTTTGTTATGTTTGGTAGATCCTAAGGATTGAAAATCACCTTAAAGTTAAAAAAACACACAATTATTTGTTTAAAGCTTACATTATTCTTGTATTCTTGTATTCTTGTATTGTCCCTGCTAAGTGTAACTGTTTCATGTTATTAGATAATATGTTTTCTAATTTAATGATGCCCTTTCCAAATTATTTTCCAGTCTTATTAGCCTTTCTCTCTTTTTTTTTTTTTAAGATTATTTATTTATTTATTTCACAGAGGGAGAGAGATCACAAGTAGTCAGAGAGGCAGGCAGAGGGAGAGGGGGAGGCAGGTTCCCTGCTGAGCAGAGATTCCCAATGTGGGGCTTGATCCCAGGACCTGAGACCATGACCTGAGCTGAAGGCAGAGGCTTAACACTGAGCCACCCAGGTGCCCCTAATCTTTCTCTTTCAATCTGAAATAAAAATGCATTGTAGGAGGGGCATCTGGGTGGCTCAGTGGGTTAACAAGCCTCTGCCTTTGGCTCAGGTCATGATCTCAGCGTCTTGGGATTGAGCCCCACATTGGGAATCTCTGCTCAGCAGGGAACCTGCTTCCCCCCTCTCTCTGCCTGCCACTCTGCCTACTTGTGATCTCTGTCAAGTAAATAAATAATCTTTTTTAAAACATGCATTGTAGGAGATAGACAAAGAATGAATAATATCTTGAAAAAAGAAAGACAAAAAGTGTTAATTTCTTTTTGTGCATGGAGGAAGGTCTGAGGTGATAATCCAGGCTGGACGTTAGGGACGGAAGCTCCATACTTATCATGTGATGTATCAGTCTGTCGCAGGCATGTAGTATTGGGATTTATCAAGAAATTTTTAAATTTTTTTTAAAGATTTTATTTATTTCTTTGACAGAGATCACAAGTAGGCAGAGAGGCAGGCAGAGAGAGAGAGGAGGAAGCAGGCTCCCTGCTGAGCAGAGAGACTGATGCAGGGCTCAATCCCAGGACCCTGAGATCATGACCTGAGCCAAAGGCAGAGGCTTTAACCCACTGAGCTACCCAGGTGTCCCAAAATTTTTTAATTTTTTTAAATTTAAAAATCAATAAATTTTTATTTACGGAATTTTACATATGATTTCACTGCCAATCACTGTAGTTCCTCCAAAGTCAGAATCACAATCTTCAAAATAGAACTTTTTTTTTTTTTCTTATGTATTTGACACAGAGAGAGACAGTGAGAGAGGGAACAGAAGCAGGGGGAGTGGGAGAGGGAGAAGGAGGCTTCCCATCAAGCAGGGAGCCCAATGCAGGGCTCGATCCCAGGACCCTGGGATCATGACCTGAGCCAAAGGCAGATGCCCAACAACTGAGCCACCCAGGCACCCCAAAATAGCACTTTTAGAAAGAACTTTTGTTCAGCCCACATTTGTCAGCATCAGTCCACAGTTCTTTCAGGTGAGCTTCTTTGATCTTCCCTTAAATATGGACATACTTCACAAATTCTCTACCTGCAACCTTTTGGATCCAATTTCTTGACCTTAGGACCTTAGAAATCGAACTGCAGTCAAATGCTCTACCCCTGAGCTATACCCTAGAAATCAAACTGTAGGAAATACACTGATTGCTATTTTGGCAAATGATCTAAAAATTTTCATTCCTTGATTTTTTTCTAATATTGAAAAGTCTTGTAACTTCCACTCTGCTGCATGAGCCTAGCAGAACATATTTCCGGTGTCATTGTCTACAGCAATAACCTTGCTCTGATGGAAGCATAACCTCTGTCTCAAGTCACTGTAATTTTTAAGTTTTTTAAAAGGAAGCTGTTACACCATGCTGAGTTTACGATGTGATATTGTAGGTACTTGAATTTCTGGTTAATTAATGTATAGAAGAAGAAAAACAACTGACTTGAAGGTGTAATTTTTTAAATGTATTACCTGTACATGCTCCCATTAATACTATTATTTAAAAGCTAATGTTGAGCTGTTGTAACCTTGGTGTATTTATATTGTATGATGAAATTCCCCTTTTAATAACCAACAAGATAATGGAAAGTAACAAATTAACAGGTTATACTTTGAGACCAATCATTTAACTTGCTAAGCTTCCATTTTCTGCACTTCACATTGCTCTCCATATATTTTTTATTGTGAAATATTTTTGAAAAATGTAAGGGTGACTGGGTGGCACAGTTGGTTAGGTGTCAGACTCTTGGTTTCAGCTCCGGGTATGGCCTCAAGTTTGTGGTCTCAAATCCTGCCTCAGGCTCACCACAGAGTCTGCTTGGGACTCTCTCCCCCTCTCTCTCCACGCCTCCCATTTTACATACACACTTGCATGCTCTTTCTCTCTGAAATAAATAAATCTAAAAAATATATGTATAATATATAAACAAACTATTGATGTAACTTGTGATTATTTTTTAATTTTTTAGAACAAGAGAGAGCTCTTTGACCCAGATGCACCATATTTTATTTTCAGCTTTATATTATGCATAGGTTTGTGGTTTTATTTGGTCATTATTGTAAACTTTTTATTGAAATACATGTGCAGAAAAATGCATGTATTAGAAGTGAACAGCTTGATTAAAAAAAACATTATTGGGATGCCTGGGTGGCTCAGTCCATTAAGCATCTGCCTTCAGCTCAAGTCATGACCCCACAGATCAAGTCCCACTCTGGGCTCCTTGCTCAGCAGGGAGCCTGCTTCTCTCTCTGCCTGCAGCTCCCCCTGCTTATGTGCAAGTGCTCACGCTCACGGGCTCGCGAGCGCACGCTCTCTCTCTCTCTGACAAATAAATAAAAATCTTTTTAAAAGAAAACAAGGAGCTGTATTTAAAAAAAAAAAAAAACAACAAAACATTATCATAATCCTGAAGCATCCTTGCGTTTCCTTCTGATCACTACCATTCCATTTCCCAAGGGTAACTGTTTTCTTGACTTCTAACATCATAGATTAGTTTTGCCCTTTTTT